GCCAGTTCAGGAAGATAGGAGGGGCCACTGATGGAAGCACGGCCACAAGTCACAGACCCCAAGGGAACCTGCAGTACCTGAGGGGGATGCCTGCACCTGAAAAAATACCTGAAGTAAGGGGGTCTGTGGCATGTGGGCCGGTCCCAAGCAGTGGCACTGATTCAAGGAGAAGTGCGAAAGCACAAGCAACCAACAAACTGACAGAAATGGACAAGACGATATGATGTGGCAGGCAAGGGTGAGGGCGCGGAGGAAGGGGCACTTAGCTGGTCATGTGAGAGCGAGCAGAAGGCAGCTGAAGCACCACCAGGTGACTCCTCCCAGCAGCCCTCCTCCCAGCCTCCCGTCCGCGTCCCTGCACGGCCACAGGGGAGAGGCGTGAGGGAGCGTCGGTGTTGACCCCACGCCCCTCCCCTCCACCAGCAAGGCACAGACACAGAGCAGCAGTGAGTGCGCATGGAATGGCCACAAGCACAAGGGAAACACCAGAAGCTGCCAGTTCAGGAAGATAGGAGGGGCCACTGATGGAAGCACGGCCACAAGTCACAGACCCCAAGGGAACCTGCAGTACCTGAGGGGGATACCTGCACCTGAAAAAATACCTGAAGTAAGGGGGTCTGTGGCATGTGGGCCGGTCCCAAGCAGTGGCACTGATTCAAGGAGAAGTGCGAAAGCACAAGCAACCAACAAACTGACAGAAAAGGACAAGACGATATGATGTGACAGGCAAGGGTGAGGGCGCGGAGGAAGGGGCACTTAGCTGGTCATGTGAGAGCGAGCAGAAGGCAGCTGAAGCACCACCAGGTGACTCCTCCCAGCAGCCCTCCTCCCAGCCTCCCGTCCGCGTCCCTGCACGGCCACAGGGGAGAGGCGTGAGGGAGCGTCGGTGTTGACCCCACGCCCCTCCCCTCCACCAGCAAGGCACAGACACAGAGCAGCAGTGAGTGCGCATGGAATGGCCACAAGCACAAGGGAAACACCAGAAGCTGCCAGTTCAGGAAGATAGGAGGGGCCACTGATGGAAGCACGGCCACAAGTCACAGACCCCAAGGGAACCTGCAGTACCTGAGGGGGATACCTGCACCTGAAAAAATACCTGAAGTAAGGGGGTCTGTGGCATGTGGGCCGGTCCCAAGCAGTGGCACCGATTCAAGGGAAGTGCGAAAGCACAAGCAACCAACAAACTGACAGAAAAGGACAAGACGATATGATCTGACAGGCAAGGGCGAGGGCGCGGAGGAAGGGGCACTTAGCTGGTCATGTGAGAGCGAGCAGAAGGCAGCTGAAGCACCACCAGGTGACTCCTCCCAGCAGCCCTCCTCCCAGCCTCCCGTCCGCGTCCCTGCACGGCCACAGGGGAGAGGCGTGAGGGAGCGTCGGTGTTGACCCCACGCCCCTCCCCTCCACCAGCAAGGCACAGACACAGAGCAGCAGTGAGTGCGCATGGAATGGCCACAAGCACAAGGGAAACACCAGAAGCTGCCAGTTCAGGAAGATAGGAGGGGCCACTGATGGAAGCACGGCCACAAGTCACAGACCCCAAGGGAACCTGAAGAGAGTACCTGCACCTGAGAGGTTTACCTGCACCTGAGGGGGTTACCTGCTCTAAGGGGGTCTGTGGTATGTGAGCCGGCCCAACCAGTGGCATTGTTTCAAGAAGAATGGCGGAAGCACAAACAACAAACAAAACGGTAGCAAATGAAAACAATAGAAGATATGGGAGGAAGGGCACTTAGCTGATGGCGTGAGAGCAGCAGGCAGTTGAAGCAGCGTGGGCAGTTGAAGGAGCAGAGGCAGCAGGCATGGCATGGCGTGTCCCACCCACTGCAGCTCGGCTCGTGCGCTGCTCAGAGCAGGGCTGCAGGGGGAGGGAGGGGCGGGAGGTAAGGTGACGGGGGTGGAAGGTAAGGGGACGGGGAGGGAGGGGAGGAGGGGAGGAGCATGAACGGGCAGTGATGGGAGAGGCAGGCAGCAGCAGGGAAGGGAATGCATGCATGCGAGGTGAGACGGAGGAAGAGCGGAAGGAAGGCCATTGGTGGAGCAACCGTCACAAAGCCACACACCCACGAGATCTACCTGAGGGGGAATTTACCTGAAAAACAAACTGGGGGAAACTTTACCTGCAGTAAGAAAGGCGTGTGGGCTGTACCGTGTGGTGCCAGCAGTGGTCTCGATTTGATGGACAAGTGAGGGAGAAGCGGAAAGGGGCATGATGTGGGATGCGAGCATGGGTGCACTAAGAAGCAAGCACTTATCTGACGATGTGGTTGCCTTGTGCTGCCGCCAGGTGCTTGACACATGGGGGCGACGCTGATGCTGCGTGAGGTGCTTGATTGCTTGCTTGCTTGCTTGCTGCCCCCCGTCCAGCAGCCCTACTCCTTGAAGCCGAGTGACCTGCACAGGAGAGCAGCGCGGAGGAAAGGAGGAGAGAGCACGGTGAGTAACAGCAAGGCGTGTGAGGGAACGGTGGTGACCCCCACGCCCGCCCTCTCCAACTGCGTCGCAGTGCACACGAGCAGCAGTGGTGAGAGAGCATGGAGGGAGGAGAAGAAGGGCGAATGGCAGGTGAGAGGATTCACGCAGCACGAGAAATTGATGCGCGCAGATGAGTCACGGATTCGAAACACGGAACTGTAACGCGAGATGGATCCGCAAAGACAATTTGCAGAAACTGCGACACTGGTGAAACGCGAAATTTATGAAAACGCGAAATTGATCAAATAATATGATTCGCGAATTTGACCATATGGAATATTGCGAAACTGATGGGTGTGGCTCGCGACAATACCTGAGCTGCACGACAAAGGACGAGCGTCGATCCGAGTTCGTCCAGCCGAAATCGCACAGTCGAGCTCTCCAATCCGTGGCTCTCCAAAATCGCGTACAGCCAGATGGGTGAAATGTCGCCTCACCACCACAACGAACCTGCCACATGCCGAGCATGCAGACGTCATGTCAGAGAAATATCGCATGTCGTTCGAATGATAGTTACGGAAAATCGAAGTACGCTAGACAAAACAACTCGATGCGCGTTCACAAGTACCGAATGTGTTCACAAGTACCTGAGAAGAGAGCGTCATGCCGTTGTTCGGACTCGGAGTCTGTACGCGAGGCTCTCCGAAATCGCGTTGGCGATTTACACCAGACTTTGAAGCAGATGCGCTCAGTTACCGGAGACCTTATGCGCAAAGCATGCCGAAATTTCCATGCTAGATAGCGCGACTTCCCGCTCCTTTTCCCGATGATGAAGCTCCTACGACCCCCTACGAATCGGACGCAGACAAAAATGCTTCTCAATCTTGAGAAATCGCATCAGTACACGTAAGCCTCAACTCAACACGTTGAGAATTCTCAGCTCCTAACGCTGTACTCTAGAAGGTGAGTAATGAAAGCTCAGCTCTAGGAAACGAGCAGGTGAAGCAGAAGAAGCTGGGAGTGAAAAGACGGGATCAAGAGGCGAAGGGGCAGTGAAATGTGAGGCTCAGGCGAGAATGACATTGGAATGAGGCGGAGGGCTTGCGGAATGCCTCGCCTCTCAACCCAATCCAACGCTCTTGGGTTCCCACCACGCGAGATCTACCGTCCAGAATCGCTCGGGCGTTCGAAACCATTCTGCTAGTTCAGATCGCAGCCGTAGCTTGGAATTTCGCCTTTTGCCTACGCGAACCATACAACCAGCGGTGAAGAAAAACCCTCAATGCTGATTGGATTACAGGCTAACTGGTTGGATCACAACGAGCAGCTGCGACTGGTCGGTCCGGTCAGGTTCAAGTTTTCCCCGTGACAGGGAGATTCGAGAGTCCACTCCGTGGCTGGTCAGAAATCGTTCACGTGGCACGTGAATCTGCCGGTCAGGGAAGGGAAACGAAAAATCGCCGACTTCTTTCTGTTCGCGTGTCGCCTAGTCACCTAAGCGGCTACGCGGGTTGCGGATTTCAGCGAGGTTTCCGTTGGCAAAGGCGGGAGTTGCGGGATTTCCCAGATGAACGTTTGATTTCGTGACATAGGGACCTTCGATTGCCATGTCATCTGAAGCCCCACCGTCAAGTATCCCGTCCGGAAGGCGACAAGTCCAATCGTTTGAGTTTGAAAATGTGGATTCAGCCAATGTATACAGAGCAAATAATAGCCGTCGATAGTGAACCATGGCCAGGCGGCTGCGGTTGAGATTTGCGGTTGCTTGGCTTCCCTCCATTGTCTCCCTGACAGCTAACTGCAGATAGCGAATGCGTACAGCTGATTGGGCGAGGTTGGGGAAACAGATCGCTGGATGAGCTCTCGAAACTCGTCGCTGATTCGACCAGTAGATTGGTTTCTGACACGAGCTTCAGAATTATATGTAGGACGACCTTACAAAATTACATAATGAACTACACCTCGCTGCAACCCCCGAGAATATGTTTTGTAATCCAAAAAATAAAAGATACAACTGATTGAATATGATCATCTAAACAAACGAGTTGAGATGGTGAGGGGTGTGATCGTTGTCATTAGTCCTCTGGGGAATTCAAGAATTCTGGAAGCACAGGGTATCGTAGAGTACCAGTATATCTGTTGTTCTGTTTGACAGCAGTACACTCTGTTAACAGGTTTTTCTGGTTGCAAAGTCAGGTTTTGCTGTTTGCAAAGGCAGGCACCAGCAAGGTTCCATAAGTCTGATGAGATTCATGCTACGGTACTCGGTTGAGATACATCCTCCTAATTTTATGCTACTGCATTCTGCCATTCTACCACTTCTTGTCCCTTCACAAGTTACCTACCGGCACACAATGAACCCCTGCACATGATATTTTTCACGCCGCTTTTCAGGTGACTCCCGTGTCCAGAATAACAGGAGCTTACTGGCTATGGTACTGTAAACTGGTTACCGCTGCACAATGTGAGGTGCTGGTACTGGTTGTAGAACTGGTCACCGGCGCACAATGAGCCCCTGCACATCAGCTATACCGTATGGATCCAGCGAGGGCAACTTTTGAGGCGCCTCAAAAGTTGAAATCTAGTTACCGGCGCACAATGAGCCCCTGCACATCAGCTATGAAGGCAGCGAGAGCGGAGCGGAACCGGCGGCGCACTGGGCGGGCAGCGGCAGCAGAGGTGGCTGATGCACTGGATGCCGCTGCTGCTGATGCCGCAGCGAGGAATGTCGAGACTGCAGAGGAGAGGTGGAGTTGGCCCGCGGGGTCCACATGTGATGACACTGCCTCAGATAGAATGGTCTGGGGGGCAATGGGGGAGGAAGCGGGGAGAAGGGGGACGGGAGGAAGTACGGTAGCGTTGATATGGACAATCATCAAGTGAATTGTTGCTACTGACTTACAGGACAACAAGGAGCAGGTGTTGCAACGGAGTGGGTGCGTCTCGGGAGAGTGGTGATGAAGAGGAGGAAGGTGAGAGGGAGAAAGTACCTGGGTGAGCTGAGGGCAGGCAAGGATGAGAGGAAGGAGCGCATCTGCTGCTGCTTCAACTGTCTCGTTCCTGTATGGCAGCAGTGGCATGGCATGGCATGGCATAAAATAGAATGGAATGGGTTGGCATGGCACAGTGAATGTGTATGGCATGAGGAAGCCACCAAAGAAGGGATATAAGTCATGGGTGGTTGGTTGCATGGGGGGATGGACAAAAGGAGTCATCTGCGAAAGGTAGCTGATGCAGGAAGAGGAGCGGGTGGCGAAGGGAGTTGAGGATCACCTCGATCTGCTTCTCCAGTCCCACAATTATCATACCACCTTGTCAATTCCAACTGACGGGATGAAGAATCATATAAAGGGAGATGCCGAATCACCTGAGGGGCTGCAATCTCACCTGAAGAACTGAGGAAACACCTGAGAGGCTGCAGAATCACCTGAGGGGCTGCAGCAGCACGAGTTGGAGCACAAGGCGCAGGAGGTGAGCAACGAGGGCCTGATGCCGCTGCACGTGCTCGGGGGCCAATGAGGCGGAGGAGGAGGAGGAGGAAGAGGAGGTGGGTGATGCAAGGGAGGAGACGGAGGAGAGGGAGAGCACCAGAATTTCCTCGTCCTGATGAGAATAGGTGGCATGGGGAGACATATGGGGCGACACATGAGAAGACACATGGGAAGAGAAGAGGTAAGGGAACAGGCGTGGCATGGTGTGTGTGTGAGTGGGTAAAGTGTGTGGGTGAATGATGGTTGCAATGTGTAAATTTGCAAGCTTGAGTGCAAACCTTCCCATTCCCCCTCCACTTCCCTCACCCTTTCCCCCTCCCCTTCCCCCTCCCCACCCCCCTCGCTTTCCCCCTTGATTTCCCCCGCCCTCCCATTCCCCCTCCCTTTCCCCCACTCCATCCCCAGATTTTCCCCCCTCCCTTCCCCCTTCCCTTCCAAGTTCCTCAAAACACCCTCCCCTCCTCCCTCCCCCCCCACCCCCCCACCTGGTGCTGCAGGCCAAACTCGAGAGTGTGCATGATGGGGTGGAAGGCGGAATCAGGCAGCGCTAGCACCTTCTCGGGGTGCACACAGCACATGTGCTCCAGCAGCGTGAAGTACTGGCGGGGAGGGAAACGCGAGGTGGGGTAGGGAGGAGGAGGAAGGGAGGGGATAGTGGGGCAGCATAGAAGGGGGAGGGAGTGGGGGGAAGGGAAGGGAAGGGAAGGGAAGGGGCGGGCAGGGGAGAGTGGGTTCAGCTGATGGGGTTGATGGTAGGAAGGAAGCGGAAGAGAGTAGTGCAAGTGACAGCGGGGGAAGACAGGTGACAGAAGGAGTGGAGGAAAGGAGGCGAGAGTACTGTGGGCAAAGGGACGGTTTTGAGTTTACGTAAGAGCATGTATGTACGGTGCATGCATGACCGTGGCATGAGAGTGAGGGGATGAGGCTTGAGATGCCAAAGCCGCTTGGAAGGGGGCTTTTGAGAGTTATAAACAGTGACTGTGATACAGATATGGAGATGTGGTTACCTGAAGGCAGAGCTTGGGGAATTGGAGTAGGTCGAGAGAGATGAGCGGAATGATGATGTTCACACCCAGACACACCATCTGTTGCTCCCATGCACATGCACATGCGCACGCACACGCACACGCACACGCACACGCACATGCACATGCACATGCACATGAACATGCAGACACATACAGTAAACTCAACACGTGTGGGATAAGAAGCTTTATCAACAGTGGCATGCTCAAGCGCAGGCACTGAATAAAGTAAGACTCCATAATGACAACCAACTGCGCCTCAAACCCCCTTGCTTGCATCAACGTTCTCTCTTCCATCACGCACACACACGCACAAAATCCAGTACGCACGCTTGCACCCATGCACACACACCTGTGCCACATCTGCTGACTGGCCCGGTAATGATGCTCCAAAGTCAAGCTGCCCATTGGGTTCGAGGGGTTGAAGGCGAGATGAGGAGGGATAGGAGGGTTTGAGGGGTGAGAGTGGGGAAAATAGGAAAGATGGGAAGTGGGGGGGGCGAAGGGGGAAATGGGGGAGGAGGGAATAGAGGGCGGAGAGGGGGGATTTGGGGGGAAGGCATCAAGGCGGGGAAGAGAAGGAAAGGATGCCAAACGGCAAGGGGTCTTGAGAAATCTTCAGTAGTGACTGGGTATTCGTAAATACAAATGCAAATGGTCCAATTAATCAAGCCATCAAACGCCCCCCTTCCTCCTCCCTCGTCCTCCCCCCTCTCCCAAACAGCCTATCTGTGAGGAATGTTCAGGCTAAAAGGACGCGTTGTGTGGTGCGCACCAGGTCTTTGGAGGTGAGGGAGGAGAGCAGCTGCAGCAGCGCCTTGAGGTCCTTGTACTTGCTCTCCCTCACGCCCTCGCTCAACTGCCGCGACCGCTGAAGCGACACCTGCCACCATGCCGTCCGTGGTGGGGTGGTGATGATGGGGTGCATGATGTGATGGTGATGGGGTGCATGATGTGATGGTGATGGGGTGCATGATGTGATGGTGATGGGGTGCATGATGTGATGGTGGGGCAGAGGGGATGGCGGGAGGAGAAGGAATGGTGAGCGAGGAGTGGGAGTCTGTAGGAAGAGAGAGGAGAGAGCAGACGGGAGAGGGATAGACCTTCTAAGAAGGGTGACAGACAGACCATGTTGTGCATGTAAGCAAGAGGCATGTAAGCAGGGCGACGTACCTTGCCCATGTTGTGAGCGGCGTAAGCTTCGAGCAGCTGCAGGCAGAGGTGGAAGAGCTGTGCCGTGTCGTCAGGTGTGAGGAAGAGGATTTGTGAATCCACCCACACCGCCATGAACTTGAGCACCACAAACACCACCTGCGGCTGTGGTGGGGGGAGCGGGAGGGGGGGAGGAATGGGAAATGTATGTTTGATATGCTTCAATGGAAGTCGTTACGGCCCACGGGAGAAGGCGAGGCAGAGCGGGAGAGGGGTGTGGTGTGGTGGTTGTGTGTATGTCGATACATGGATCCCTGAAAGAAGAGCGTGGACATCTGCAGTCATGCGCACGCGGTGCAGAGCAGAGCTGCAACCGTACCGCCATACGACTCATGCCACCATCCTACCAGGATCAGGATGTCATACAGCAAAAGAATGACATGATGATACCATGCCACCATGCAACGATGAGAGCTCGTGTTGTACCTCGTGTCGGTAGGCGGAGAGGGCGGTGAGGATGGGGGTGCCTGCTGACAGCCCGAACTGGAACAGCACTCGCTGCGAGTGCGGCAGGGTGGCACTGGCACACCCCCTCATGCACTCCAACACCCCTATCACCTGCTCTCACACGCAGATTCATGGGGAAGAGGATGGAGGCGAGGATGTGGACAGGCGATGATTCACACAAAGAAGTAAAGGGATCGCAGCGTGAGTAACGAAACATGTGCGCATGCATGTCCCCACTACCCCCCCATCCCCTCCCCCACCCACATGTGCGCATGCATGTCCCCATGCGGCACCTGGAACATGACTTGGGGGCGGTGTGCTGTGGCTGCAAAGTCAGGAGCGGAGGTGATTGCATTCAGTGATGCCAATAGTGGCTGTAGCAGCTGCTGCACCACCCTGGGGGAAGGAGCGGAAGGGGGAGGTAGGAGAGAGGAGAGGAGAGGGGAGAGGGAGGGAAGGAGATGGTGAAGATAGGGGGGATGGATGACGGATTGTCACAGGATATCGGAAGCTGCAGTGGCAGAGGAGAAAGGGAAGAAGAGAGGTGATGCAGCAGAAAGAAAGAGGGCCAATGCGGTGTGGAGAGAGGACAAAGGGTGAGGATGTGGGGTGTCAACGTAGGTGAGGAAGTTGGGTGGAAACGTGCAGTGAGAAAGTGGGGTGAGGATGTGGGCCAAGTATGAGAAACGGATACGCACTGATGGCAGGAATGACCCTCCTTGCTGCTGCTGGCTGCACGGCACAGCGCATGCGCCAAGGCACGCTGCGGACACACGGGGACCAGGGATGCATGCATGGATGGAGCGCGGCGGATGAGCAGAGGAAGGTATACGAAACGATCAGGCGGGGAAGGGGTAATGTGTCTGAGAAAGGAAAGGAGCGGGAAATGGAGAGAGCGGCACACGGCGAGGAGAGATGGGAGCGGGGAGAAAGCAAGGCATTAGCGATGCAGGCACATCAGGTAAGAGCGTGCGGTGAAGTGGAGAGCACTGAATGGATGGAAGTGAGAGGACGAGGTAATGCGCGAACACTGCAAGCCACAGTGAGGTTGAGATGGAGGGAAGAAGGACAGGGAGCGACGTTGAAAGGCGGGGACACCTGCAGGGGGCCGGGGAGGGATGCCACAGCGGAATCCCGGGCCTTGAAGGCCTCCTCTAGCATCGCCCATGGGGGCTGCCTTGCACACACATGCGCGCAGGTGGAGAGGGGCATGGTGGAATGTGAAAGGGTGAGCGGAAGAAACACGGGCAACAAGAAACGGAGAAACCAAGAGAAAACGAAACCAGGAAATGAAAGGGGAACATGCACCAACCCAAACATGCACCAACCCGTAACAGCCTAACAGCGTAACAGCGTAACAACCTAACAGCGTAACAGCCTAACAGCGTAACAGCTTAACAGCCTAAAAGCGTAATAGCCTAACAGCGTAACAGCCTAACAGCGTAACAGCCTAACAGCGTAACATCGTAACAGCCTAACAGCGTAACAGCCTAACAGCGTAACAGCCTAACAGCGTAACAACGTAACAGCCTAACAACGTAACAGCCTAACAGCGTAAAAGCCTAACAGCCTAACAGCGTAACAGCCTAACAGTGTAACAGCCTTACAGCGTAACAGCCTAACAGCGTAATAGCATAACAGCGTAACAGCCTAACAGCGTAACAGCCTAACAGCGTAACAACCTAACAGCGTAACAGCCTAACAGCGTAACAGCCTAACAGCGTAACATCGTAACAGCCTAATAGCGTAACAGCCTAACAGCGTAACAACGTAACAGCCTAACAACGTAACAGCCTAACAGCGTAAAAGCCTAACAGCCTAACAGCGTAACAGCCTAACAGTGTAACAGCCTTACAGCGTAACAGCCTAACAGCGTAATAGCATAACAGCGTAACAGCCTAACAGCGTAACAGCCTAACAGCGTAACAGCCTAACAGCCTAACAGCGTAACAGCCTAACAGCGTAACAGCCTAACAGCGTAACAACCTAACAGCGTAACAGCCTAACAGCCTAACAGCGTAACAGCCTAACAGCGTAACAACCTAACATCGTAACAACATAACAGCGTAACAGCCTAACAGCGTAACAGCCTAACAGTGTAACATCGTAACAGCCTAACAGCGTAACAGCCTAACAGCGTAACAACGTAACAGCCTAACAGCGTAACAACCTAACAGCGTAAAAGCCTAACAGCCTAACAGCGTAACAGCCTAACAGCGTAATAGCATAACAGCGTAACAGCCTAACAGCGTAACAGCCTAACAGCGTAACAACATAACAGCCTAACAGCCTAACAGCGTAACAGCCTAACAGCGTAACAACCTAACAGCGTAACAGCCTAACAGCCTAACAGCGTAACAGCCTAAAAGCGTAACAGCATAACAGCGTAACAGCCTAACAGCGTAACAACCTAACAGCGTAACAGCGTAACAGCCAAACAGCATAACAGCCTAACGGCGTAACAACCTAACAGCGTAACAGGGTAACAGCCTAACAGCGTAACAGCCTAACAACGTAAAAGCCAAACAGCCTAACAGCGTAACAGCGTAACAGCGTAACAGCCTAACAGCGTAACAGCCTAACAGCGTAACAGCGTAACAGCCTAACAGCGTAACAGCCTAACAGCGTAACAGCCTAACAGCGTAACAGCCTAACAGCGTAACGGCCTAACAGCGTAACAGCCTAACAGCTAACAGCGTAACAGCGTAACAGCGTAACAGCCTAACAGCGTAACAGCCTAACAGCGTAACAGCCTAACAGCGTAACAGCCTAACATCCTAACAGCGTAACAGCCTAACAGCGTAACAGCGTAACAGCCTAACAGCGTAACAGCCTAACAGCGTAACAGCGTAATAGCCTAACAGCGTAACATCGTAACAGCCTAACAGCGTAACAGCCTAACAGCGTAACAGCGTAACAGCCTAACAGCGTAACATCGTAACAGCCTAACAGCCTAACAGCCTAACAGCGCAACAGCGTAACAGCCTAACAGTGTAACAGCGTAACAGCCTAACAGCGTAACAGCCTAACAGCGTAACAGCGTAACAGCCTAACAGCGTAACAGCCTAACAGTGTAACAGCCTAACAGCGTAACAGCATAACAGCAGCCTAACAGCGTAACAGCCTAACAGCGTAACCGCCTAACAGCGTAACAGCGTAACAGCCTAACAGCGTAACAGCGTAACAGCCTAACAGCGTAACAGCCTAACAGCGTAACAGCCTAACAGCGTAACAGCCTAACAGCCTAACAGCGTAACAGCCTAACATCGTAACTGCATAACAGCGTAACAGCTAAACAGCGTAACAGCCTAACAGCCTAACAGCGTAACAGCCTAACAGCGTAACAGCCTAACAGCGTAACAGCCTAACAGCGTAACAGCGTAATAGCGTAACAGCCTAACAGCCTAACAGCCTAACAGCCTAAAAGCGTAACAGCGTAACAGCATAACAGCCTAACAGCCTAACAGCCTAACAGCGTAACAGCGTAACAGCCTAACAGCGTAACAGCCTAACAGCGTAACAGCGTAACAGCCTAACAGCGTAACAGCCTAACATCGTAACAGCGTAACAGCGTAACAGCCGAACAGCCTAACAGCGTAACAGCCTAACAGCGTAACAGCCTAACAGCGTAACATTCTAACAGCGTAACAGCCTAACAGCCTAACAGCGTAACAGCCTAACGGCGTAACAGCCTAACAGCGTAACAGCCTAACGGTGTAACAGCCTAACAGCCTAACAGCGTAACAGCCTAACAGCGTAAAAGCATAACAGCGTAACAGCCTAACAGCGTAACAACCTAACAGCGTAACAGCCTAACAGCCTAACAGCGTAACAGCGTAACAGCGTAACAGCCTAACAGCGTAACAGCCTAACAGCGTAACAGCGTAACATCCTAACAGCGTAACAGCCTAACATCGTAACAGCGAAACAGCGTAACAGCCTAACAGCGTAACAGCCTAACAGCCTAACAGCGTAACAGCCTAACATCGTAACTGCATAACAGCGTAACAGCTAAACAGCGTAACAGCCTAACAGCCTAACAGCGTAACAGCCTAACAGCGTAACAGCCTAACAGCGTAACAGCCTAACAGCGTAACAGCGTAATAGCGTAACAGCCTAACAGCCTAACAGCCTAACAGCCTAAAAGCGTAACAGCGTAACAGCGTAACAGCCTAACAGCCTAACAGCCTAACAGCGTAACAGCGTAACAGCCTAACAGCGTAACAGCCTAACAGCGTAACAGCGTAACAGCCTAACAGCGTAACAGCCTAACAGCGTAACAGCCTAACAGCGTAACAGCCTAACAGCGTAACGGCCTAACAGCGTAACAGCCTAACAGCTAACAGCGTAACAGCGTAACAGCGTAACAGCCTAACAGCGTAACAGCCTAACAGCGTAACAGCCTAACAGCGTAACAGCCTAACAGCGTAACGGCCTAACAGCGTAACAGCCTAACAGCTAACAGCGTAACAGCGTAACAGCGTAACAGCCTAACAGCGTAACAGCCTAACAGCGTAACAGCCTAACAGCGTAACAGCCTAACATCCTAACAGCGTAACAGCCTAACAGCGTAACAGCGTAACAGCCTAACAGCGTAACAGCCTAACAGCGTAACAGCGTAATAGCCTAACAGCGTAACATCGTAACAGCCTAACAGCGTAACAGCCTAACAGCGTAACAACGTAACAGCCTAACAGCGTAACATCGTAACAGCCTAACAGCCTAACAGCCTAACAGCGCAACAGCGTAACAGCCTAACAGTGTAACAGCGTAACAGCCTAACAGCGTAACAGCCTAACAGCGTAACAGCGTAACAGCCTAACAGCGTAACAGCCTAACAGTGTAACAGCCTAACAGCGTAACAGCATAACAGCAGCCTAACAGCGTAACAGCCTAACAGCGTAACCGCCTAACAGCGTAACAGCGTAACAGCCTAACAGCGTAACAGCGTAACAGCCTAACAGCGTAACAGCCTAACAGCGTAACAGCCTAACAGCGTAACAGCCTAACAGCCTAACAGCGTAACAGCCTAACATCGTAACTGCATAACAGCGTAACAGCTAAACAGCGTAACAGCCTAACAGCCTAACAGCGTAACAGCCTAACAGCGTAACAGCCTAACAGCGTAACAGCCTAACAGCGTAACAGCGTAATAGCGTAACAGCCTAACAGCCTAACAGCCTAACAGCCTAAAAGCGTAACAGCGTAACAGCATAACAGCCTAACAGCCTAACAGCGTAACAGCGTAACAGCCTAACAGCGTAACAGCCTAACAGCGTAACAGCGTAACAGCCTAACAGCGTAACAGCCTAACATCGTAACAGCGTAACAGCGTAACAGCCGAACAGCCTAACAGCGTAACAGCCTAACAGCGTAACAGCCTAACAGCGTAACATTCTAACAGCGTAACAGCCTAACAGCCTAACAGCGTAACAGCCTAACGGCGTAACAGCCTAACAGCGTAACAGCCTAACGGTGTAACAGCCTAACAGCCTAACAGCGTAACAGCCTAACAGCGTAAAAGCATAAAAGCGTAACAGCCTAACAGCGTAACAACCTAACAGCGTAACAGCCTAACAGCCTAACAGCGTAACAGCGTAACAGCCTAACAGCGTAACAGCCTAACAGCGTAACAGCGTAACATCCTAACAGCGTAACAGCCTAACATCGTAACAGCGTAACAGCGTAACAGCCTAACAGCGTAACAGCCTAACAACCTAACAGCGTAACAGCCTAACAGCGTAACAGCCTAACAGCGTAACATTCTAACAGCGTAACAGCCTAACAGCCTAACAGCGTAACAGCCTAACGGCGTAACAGCCTAACAGCGTAACAGCCTAACGGTGTAACAGCCTAACAGCCTAACAGCGTAACAGCCTAACAGCGTAAAAGCATAACAGCGTAACAGCCTAACAGCGTAACAACCTAACAGCGTAACAGCCTAACAGCCTAACAGCGTAACAGCGTAACAGCCTAACAGCGTAACAGCCTAACAGCGTAACAGCGTAACATCCTAACAGCGTAACAGCCTAACATCGTAACAGCGTAACAGCGTAACAGCCTAACAGCGTAACAGCCTAACAGCCTAACAGCGTAACAGCCTAACATCGTAACTGCATAACAGCGTAACAGCTAAACAGCGTAACAGCCTAACAGCCTAACAGTGTAACAGC